TATCATTATTATACTATATAATATATCAGGTATGTGCCTACAAACGAATGTAGGCCTATGTAATTTCGTAAATGATTCATTGAGAGGAATGAGTGTTTAGGAATAAGAACTTACCAGCCGAGCCTGAGAACCCGGTGATGAATTCTCGTCTCTTATCGTGCTCTGCTGTGTACTCACTCTGTAATAAATATAATATAGTGCGATTTAATGTTTATCGGTTTAGTTTCATGAGTTTTGTTCGTGACATATGTCACATTTTACTTTAATTCCCCTGATAACTAACGGACATAATTGACATGAAATCAAACTTCTTAGGCACTTTAATTTGGCACTAGAATATACATAATGATCTCCTCGGGCACTTTAATTTCGCACTAATTATCTCCTCAATTTTTGTGTGGGAAGTGTATGTGCTTAAATACAATTGTTTTCTTCAAAAGATGACTAAACAACCCCAGATTAGCTGTTAGACAGTCCCGAGTAGTCCGTGATACATTACCGATTATTGTTCCATTATTAGACAGATTTTTTTTTTTAGTATTAATTGATCACCATTTGATGAAACGTGCCTTCATTCAAAATGACTTGCTTATAGGTTCTCTTCATAATTAATTATTCTCCTTCATCTGAGTTATGCTTATAAAAATACATTCTGCTTTTAATCATGTGATTGATTTAGTTTCTTACGCCTATATTCAAATCTACATACACGTCATTACGGATGTTTCGCAAGCTTACGGAAACGATAACAAATACATTTACTTCATTTTCTTAGTAAATCCATCCAATACATAATCATACCTGTTATACAACGTTTGCTATCCATGACTTATAAAATGAATCAATGCTCATATTCAGCTCGTATATATTTCGTTAAATAATGTTTTAGCCACGAATAACGATAATGAAGATGACGTGTTCGTATTCGCTTTCCTAAGGTTGCGAAATCCCCCCAATGTACGTACGGTAAACTCGTAAATAATTTTAACCAATCAACGTGTTTCACCTGAATGATTCTAAACGACTATGTTATGATAGGAAAAAGGTTGGCCAGTAAAAACACCCAAGAAAGTTGAAGGAACTTTGCTTCAACGTCAGCTTACCATGTGTGCGTCTCCTGACGGTATGATGTAGGCTCGCACCCTGTTCACCTCCATTTGTTTCCGTAAATCAGCCAAACGTAGTGATGTTTGTATTGTTGTAGGTGTCAACCGCTGACAACGAAAATAGTAGAAAATAAAGTTCAAATACGTTTGTGTTGGCACGTACAAAAATAATGAATGTAATTACAATATCAATACATAAATGTAAAAATATATAGGCCTACAGATAAAATATAGTAAAGATGGGCAAAGTTAATTAAAACGAAGCACAAGAATGAGTTGATATACACACTAAAATTTGTTGATAGTATTATTTTTTGTGACTTGCATTAAATTTATCTCGTGTCATGCCGTTTCTTATTTAGTATTGTATGTTATGCATTTTTGTATACGGAATAAGTCGTACTTACAGGATTTGGGCCTGAGCAATCCCGTTGATCAAGTGGAATAACTGAGGAACCATGGTGTGTTCCTTGCGCCACTACAACTGTAATGGTCGAGTCTAAGATCGCAATTCCTGTAAAAATAATGTTTTAGTTTTCTCGTTATTATTTTTGCTTGTATTGCATTATAATTCATATTATTGTTCATATATTATTCATTATTGTTACTAATAATAAATAAATAACTAATAACTAATAAATAATAAATAAATAATAATAATGATAATAATAATGATGATAATAATAATTATGATTTTTTTTATTAATATCATATTAATAATTATAATAATAATAGTAATAATAGTAATAATAATAATAATACCGAACACATATTACATAATCAGATAAGGTACCGGTAATATATAAATTACTTTTGTAGGTCTACTATAGGATAGTTATTGTTATGCTCTTCATCTTATTAATTGAAGACGAATAACAGTATAAAGGAAATTGGAATGCATGCCTATTAAATATTTTGTTTATATGGGAACCCGGAGGACTATATAACATCAAGATACGTTGCCGTACGATGAGACGAACGGTCGTTGTTAAATGCATTTACATTAGTATAGCAAGTTTGGAATTCTGAGACAAAGAATTACAGTTACAGAATGGAAATACTGTACGTAATAAAATGATGGAAGTGAGCCAGTTCTGTGGAATCATTCTATCTCATTTGAATACAATATCAGGATCCTAAATAATAACATTTTAACATAATAACATATATTGTTTTTGTCACCTCCGGTTCCAATTCAAAGTGTAACACTAGATGACAGAGCCAATCAGAAATAAATTGTAAAGCTAAAAATCACGTCCTGGGTCAGACAAAGAGAAAGTAAAATATTGATGTTTATATACTGTATATATATATGGTATAAAAAACACAACATTTATATATCCTCATCTATCCAAATGGATCATTCCATAAAATAATGACTCAGTTTTTGTTGCGTATCTTCACTCCTTCTGCTTCCGTGAATTAGTTACTGTACTTTCCATTTGCAATTTTCCGCGCCGTTCACAGCCGAGAATGCAGGCACAGACTAAATATATCGTTTACATTTCCAAACAATCATAATCGTCAAATTTCCAAGTAGAGCTATTGAATTTTGTTAAAAAAGTTATTATTATTATTATTTATAACTACTAAATAACATTTTACAAACACCTTCTCACGTAAAGCTCAACTTGAGAAATAATAAGCCTAAGACTAGTGCTACAAAAGAGGAGGGAGATTGTGTATGCTTACTCAAAAA